TAAATCAGTATTCAATCATAAAAACACAAACATGTGTTTCGGGAAAGGGAAAATAACCTCATGGGTTATCTGGGGATAAGTTTATCTTGGAACCGGATATGGAATTCTCAATGGTCGCATAATTGTTAGGTCATCCGATCGTTGGGACCACTAGGAATATGGGGTGGACCAGGAGAGCTTAGGCGTCTGCACAACTTGTTTTTCGGCACACAAAGGGGGGTGCAGCAGCCGAATTCCTACCGTTTCCGCTGTGGCCAGCATACGACGGCGAACATTCCTTGATAATCGACCACGAACCCGATACAGGGCACGGAATACCTCGGTCACATTCACAGTGTGATTTGTTTCAACTAGGTTTGAAACCACTGCACTAGTGAGTGACTTATTCGTTCTTGGGTGGTGTCCACGGATCCGTTCGAACAAACGCCTGACCGTGCGGCCTATGTGCGTTGTTCCACAGGAGCACGTATGAGTACACACAAAATGAGACGGCAGAATGCGGCATTTTGTCCCATAGTGGTAAACACACAATTGGCTGGGAAGTGAAAAAAACCATTGAGCTTTGCTGCATAGAAGGTATTACTAACATCTGCTGATGTATCCCCATTGAACGGCAAGACAATGTATACCGACTTTTTTCTGACCTCGGTCTTCTTCACAATATCTCCACTGCACTGAATCACCTTGCTAACCAATCGTTCTGAATGGCCATTATGTCTGAAGATAGTACGTAAGAACCGGAGCTCTCCTTCTATTGTGTCTTCACAACGAATCTTCCTTGTTCTATCTTCTAGGCAGCGCACCAAATTTTCCTTCAATTTGAGCGGTACAAAGCTGCGAAAATGAATATATTGACCCCTCCAAGTCGCTTTCCTATGCACTGATCGTTACACCGAGCCATCAGATCCATGGCTCAAAGAGACGTCTAGAAATACCAATTGGTTTTCGTTTTCCATTTCTAAAGTAAATCTTATGTTCTGGTGAGCAGCACTGAACTTTCTCAATAGCTCGTTTTTTCCTGCTGTCATGTTGATCATGCCCAAAATATCACCCACATATCGTGTGTATAGCATACAATCCTGATTGTAAGATTGGAGTTGGTTATTTTCAAGTTTCGCCATAAACACAACGGCAAACAACAGTCCTACCGCAGATCCCATGGCTACACCATCCTTCTGTCGATAAACCTGCTTGTTGAACTTAAATTGGACGTTGCATGTGCAAAACATAAAGCAGTTTTTTCAGGTCTTCCAAGGAAAAGCTTATCTCAACATTGTTAGTTTGTACATAACCATACAGGTATTCGATGGTTTCGCTGATTGCAACATTGGTGAAGAGCGAACTAACGTCCAGTGAAAGCATCATCCGACCCATCAAGTTTAGGTCACGAATGCTGTTCGCAATAAATAACGTATGCTGGTTCACTAGTTCTATTCTAACGGGCTCTAGTAATTCAGCCAACCATTTTGCAAGTGCATGGTATGGTGATTTGCACATTTCCAGAATCGGTCGCAAGAGTACCCCCCCCCTTTGTGCACTTTAGGTAAGCTGTGCATTCTGGGAATCGTTGTCCCAGTTGGCCGGATCCGTTCGAACGTGGTCGCATTGATGACTTCTTTTTGCTTTAAATGTCTCAAGGTCTTAGGTAAAACGACCTCAATTTGAGAGGTCTTGTCCTTTTCCATTGTTCTGTTGAATTTCGAACTATCACTCAATGTATCTTTCACCTTTTCTACATAATCTGTTTGGCTTAGAAGCATGATCCCCGCCCCTTTGCCCGGTTTTGGTATCATAATTTCTCTGTTTTTCTGCAGGTCTCTAAGATTTTTGAGAGGCTCCACTGTCACAAGTTCTCTTGTTTTTACTTTCATACTCTCATGCATTGACTAAGGTTGAT